CCGTGGTAATTTGTGGAGATGGTTTAAGTCGTATGTGATAAATCGAACCCAAAAAGTAGTCATTAGAGGTTTTGAGTCAGATATTGTGCATATAAGTTCTGGTGTGCCACAAGGCTCAATTTTAGGGCCTCTTCTTTTTATACTGTATATTAATGATGTTAATAGTTGTTTCAAGTTTTGTAATTTTATTCTGTATGTTGATGATATTAAAATTTATCGCAAAATTCAACATTATAATGATCATCTTAACTTTCAAAAAGATTTAGATAATTTTTCATCTTATTGTAAACGCAATAAGCTTGATTTGAGTGTTAATAAATGTAAAGCCATAACGTTTACCCGTAAGCGTCAGCCAAGTAATTTTAATTATTCTTTATGTGGAGTCCCATTAGAAAAAGTTCATAAAATTAAAGATTTAGGCATAATATTAGATAGTAAACTTATCCATGATACACATGTAGAAAGCGTAATTAATAAGGCTCTTAAAATGTATGGTTTCGTGATGCGTATTGGTCGTGAATTTAAAAAACCTCTCACTTATTTGCACCTCTATAAATCTTTAATAAGATCACAACTCGAACTTTGTTTATTTTCTTTATAATAAAATAAACAAAGATATTTATATATACGACAAAACATATCACAACTGTAAAAAACTTTTGTTAGAATGGATTCATCATAAGACATATGACGAAATTGAGAAGCTACTGGATTGTGTAGCATGATTTGTTCAGATTCAGACACTGTAATCACACATACTCTTTTTAACTCACGCAAGCATAGACACAAACACACACACACCCACACACACACACACACACACACACACACGCACACACACACACACACACACACACACACACACACACACACACACACACACAGACACACACATACATACATAAGTAATAGAATTAATATAGAATTTAAGTAATATATAACATTAATATGGATATAGAATATGTTTATCCATACTGCCTTGTAACATGGATATAGTAATGGAAGGGCGGACCCTCCAAACACAGGCATTATTTGCTTAAATGGAGGTTCCAATCTACTAGTTTTTAAGGCATTTACTTTTTAAAAACGAAATAAAATTTATTTATTATTATTTATTATTATTATTATTACTCGAATATGCAGTAGCTATTTGGTGTCCGTATTATAATAAATATATAGATAAAATCGAATCCATTCAAAAAAAGTTTTTACGTAGTGTAAATTACAAGTGCAGACGAGTTAAATTACCCTACTATCAATTGCTGGTCGAATATAACTTACTTAAATTAAAATCCAGACGTCAACAGATTCAAGCTATGTTACTGTATGATATCTGTCATAACAGGTACGATAGAATGGAACTAGTTAATATGATACAATACAGAGTACCATATAGGCCATTGTGTCGCAGAGCTCATACCAAACATACATTTTTTACTAATAAATGTCAAACCAACATAGGTAAAAGATCCCCTATGTATATGTTGGTAAATTGTTATAATAATAATTTCAATAACATTGATATTTTTGCTCATAAGATAGGTTTTTATAAAAAGGAGTTACTTTCAGTACTCAGAGGAAAATGAGTTTGTGTAATTGGTTATTGGAATAATAATTACTTTTCATCATTTTATTAGTTGAAGACACAAACATTGTATCAGATGAAAAATGCGCTAATCTCAATCTCAGCTTTTATTAATAGTAATTGGTGGTCAACGTTGTTGGTTGCACTATTATATTAAATTTTTTTGTAGTAAATATATTCTAGATTAAGAAATATTGTGCAAACTCTTTGTTGATCCTAATAAATTTAAAAAAAAATGATAGCCATCCCGCCTGTCAAGCGTTTCAAATTTCAATTGTGTCATATATCCCTATCTTTTACTTAATTCTCACTGTGCTCTCGAATAGAGGTCTCCTACTACGTAAGAAGTACAGTCTGCAAGTGAATGATAACTATATGAACAAAATGAGGGTAGAAATGAATGGAAATAGATGCTTATTTTTAAAATTTAATTAGAAGACTTTGTTTATTTACATTTAATTCTTGTCGTATTCCATACTAGCTGTGCCCGCGGCGTAGCTCGCGTATACAGGTTTTACATAAAGAATTTGTCGTTTAGGTAAGAGAATATTAAACGATTTATTTAATTACTGTATCAATAAGTGGTAACTAAATAAATCATTATCATCAAAGTTCTAAGTAGTTTATGATAGAGCTTCTGTGTAAACGACGTTAGAAGTAGGCTTAGCCGGGGTGTACACAAAAAGGCTACGGGGGCTACAAACGTGGGAAAAAACAACATAGAGTTGGTGATGTGCAAAACAGTCAGTACTGAGGTGCACTCCTACAACGCGTAAAGTTTGACCTTGCGCTTTATTTACGGTCATCGCATAACACACGCTGACTGTGACTGGGAACTGAACGCGCTTAAAACTGAAAGGAAAGTTACTTCTTAATAGAGGGTTTTTGGGCAGTGCTGCCAGATAAAAAAAAAACTCATTCAGCTCTAGGACAACACAAAAAGCGCTAGATTTCATGAAAACAGCGCTTTAAAAAAGCCCTAGATTTCGCGCTAATTTAACTACAAACAAATTTGTGTTTTTTTATATAATCATAATAAAGAAAACAACATTCAGTTTTTTTTCTGGCAATATTTTTTTGATGTATCAATACTTCGCAGGACATCGACTTATAATTATGGCAATTGCTGTCAACAGTAGTTAGTACTGTACGAACAATAAAAATGTCATTAATTGTTTTAAAGTGCAATGTATTTCGCAACTTAGTTTCAGATGTCAGCATCTGATTGCGGTTGCTACACAGTTTCTTTGTGTTATAACTTCTAAGTAACTTTTAACTTAGCTGTGCTCTAAGCAACTGACTGAAACTGAATAAAGCAAAATAAATGCGTTGCCAAAACCATGAACGAAAACTTTAATAAAGGGGATTTCCCCGCTTATAGTCGTCGGTAAAAAAATCAAGTTGATCATCCTAAAGGGGAAGCCAGGAGATCCATAGCACAGGGTCTCCTAGTTTGGACTCGTCTCCCATGCTCTTTGTTTTGTGGAAAAAATATGTTTGAAAAAGATAAACTGCAATGTACTATTTGTGGGAAAAAATAATAAAGGTCATTATTATTATTATCGGTAATGTGGACTAACAGTGCTGCTATAAAAGAGTTAATAACCCGCTAGTCGCTAAAATATTGAAATGTGTGCTAAATACACCAAAAAGCGCTGGATTAAGCTAGGTGCTAAAATTTCGAAATGCGCGCTATACATTCCAAAAAAGCGCTAAATCTAGTTCCCAAAGCGCTAAAATGGCAGTACTGATTTTGCGTATATTATAAATACAATATCACGACATTTCGTTGCAAAATTTTATTTTTTGTCGCGTTCCGTTGTATAGCTTCGATGGATACAAATTTCTTCAGTAAGTCTCAATACGATTCATCGGCGAAAAATCTCAACACAGCAATTCAGAAAAGTTTGTAATTTGTACAACTCCATCTATTACGTCCTTTGTGTGAGAAAACATCCTTTTTAAATCTCTTTTTGTGTTTTAAGTATAAATATATTAATTATTATGGAACGTTTTTTTTACACACAAATCTTTTTATTACTATTTCTGAGATTTTATGGCGCCATTGAACAAATTCGAACCTACATTTCAAAATAATAATCATTACTTTCGATAGAATTAACCAATTTTAATAAAACAAAGATTAAATGTAACTCGAAGATACGCTTTATGATTTTCTTAACGATTTCGTTGAAAATAAAAGATGTTTACTTTAGACGTGATGCGTTCATATAATAACAGACAAATAGACAGACAGACAATTCTAAAAGTTATAAAATGTTCTTATTTAATTATTTTCAGTTCCCCATAATGATTTTAGCCACCAAAATATATATACAATGTACAGAAAGAGACACAACATGTTGTCATCATTTGTATTATATGTATATATTTGAAGAGAGATGGCGCTGCTTACATCAATTCTAAAAATAAAAGAGATTAATTGACGCGATTGATACATTATATAAAACGCAAGAGTACTTATAAATCAGTGCCTGCACAGTAAGCAAAAAATAAAGTTTGACTCTCGCCAAAACCAACGATTTGTTAATAGCTCTTTTAAAATTTGATTTACCACATAGAGTACTCGGCGGTAAAGAATAAATTGAGTTTATCAACACGCAGTAGGGCAGCGAGTAATATAATAAAGATTAGCAGTAAATATGAAAACTCATCTACAGGAAAAAAAAACATTGCAATTGCATTACATTTTCACAACACCACCATCTATCGAAGAAATGGGAAAACTATTGTGCTTCAGATTTAGTTAATAAGGTTAATATATTTAATACGTTTTTTAATACTTTTGTTTACTGCGTTTTAGATATACATAATTATATCATTATTTTACATAATTTAACTATGATTTATGATATGATATTAGTTTAAAATGCACCTGATGACTCAAACAAAGCCACCGTTGAGCAAATTCGTACCTATACTTCCCTACCCATACTTCAGAATATTTATCATAACTTTTGATGGAATGAACTGATTTTAATGAAATAAAGACTAAATGTAACCCGAAGATACACTTTATAATTTCCTTAACAATTCTTATGATATAAATTAGTACTTTATACGTGATACGTTAACAAACAAACAGACAGACAGACAGACAGACAGACAGACAGAAAATTCTAAAAATGGTAGAAATGTATTTAATTACTTATTTTTAGTACCCCTCAATCACTTTTATTACAAAAATATAAAATGTACAGACATCTGCTATTTACAGTTTTATTATATGTATAGATAGGCAAGGATACAAAGCGTGAACTCAATATCTATAGACATGATCATTTCATAAATCAGCACTTATATTGTGTTGAGTTGACACAGTCTGCAAAAAACGCCAAATAATGAGATCCAAGTTGTAATTTAAAATAATTTATCAAATCTATCTAATTTCCAGGAGCCCAAACAACCAAAGCCCAACCAGTGCTTGATGTAACTAAAGTTGAACTACCATCTGGCGATATTGTAGGTGGACCTATTTTGGATACGTGCTGGGATCCTACTGGTCGATACCTGGCCATACTGTTTGAAGAGTCGTACCTTGTTGCAATATTTTGTACCACACAACTAATGATGCAGATGAAGATAACACCATGGTATAGTATGGTTATTAATAATTATGTTAAGTATTTAATTATTGTTTTTTATAGGTATATCAGCTGAAAGCCTTATCATCAATATCAGCTGAAAGCCATATTTGTGTAGCCGAAGTTATCGATTTTTTTTTAAAAATGAATAAGGTTGATAAACGAGCACACAGTCCATCTGATGGTAAGTGGATGCTGTGGCCCATAAACAGCATCTATTGTCAATTAAGTTGAGTTGAGTTGTGACCCCTGAGGCCTAAGATAGAATGCCTCGTTCCCAGTAAAAAGGGTCATACTCACCATACAAAATACAGCAGCATCAAGCTGCTATTTTACGCTGGTATTTAAAGATTTATGCTACAACCATAATATAGCTGCAGCGTGGCTCTACCATGTATAAAACATGTGTTTGTTTATATGTATATATCATATGTTAGTACCAAGACCTTACTGTTGGGAAATGAACATGCACAGAGCATTGGTACTGGGATACTGCGGGGCAGGGGGCGGGCTGACCTTGTGCTATCGCACTTCACTGAGTCTGATAGACAATACATGCGGTTGGCGCGAGCGTGTTTTATAGTATTTATGTAACTAATTTTGAGTGCCCTTTTCGAAAAATATAATATATTTAATTAAAAGTAAGTAAAATTTAATTCGAATGACGACCGTGCTTATGTTTTCCCTCATTTTTTGTTGAAAAACTTGATTATCCGAATGCGAATGCACTACAAAATTAAATTTAACAATCGAAAACTGAAAACATGTATAAAAAGAAAATGTCACGAAAATATTTAGAAAACACTTCTAAATGTGTTTTTCTTGTAGTAAGTAATAAAAAAATGATCTTGTTCAATAAACGTTTTTAATGAGGGCGATTCACTTTTACTGCCACCAGGGCGGCGCCACTAGAAAGTGAAGTATAATATTTGACAGATTTCATAGCGGGGAAGTTAATTTGTTCCGAACATGTAAAGGTTATTGTTTCTTTCTGCACTATTAGGTATATTTTTATATTAATAAGATTAAAAATAAATAAACTAAACCACAGATATTCATAAAAGTAGAAAAATTTAAATTAATTAAAATTTAGTTTAAAGTTTTGTGTACTGATATAATACTCTAGAAACTGATAAACTTTTTTTAAAAACAACTTCTTAATTAAATTACATTGTGTAACAAAAAAACCTTACCTCAGTGTCAACTAGCGACATCTGGTGAGCAGAAAATTATTAGCCCTCATTCATAAGTATGTATATAATATGAATTAATGATAATGAGTATTATAGAGCCATGGTAGCTCAGATGGTTAGAGCTCGCTGTAAGTTTCACAGTACGCGAGCAACTCGGGTTCGATCCCCCCGCCGGCACCAATGAAATTGTTAATAGAGATTTTAAGTGCTGATTTACCACGTGCTCGGCGGTGAAGGAAAACATCGTGAGGAAACCTGCATATCTGAGAAATAAGAAAAAATATTTCGAAGACATGTGTAGTTCGCCAGTACGCATTGGAGCAGCGCAGCGAACATTCCTTGCCCTAAAACCCTCTCAGAAATGTGAGGAGGCCTGTGCCCAGCAGTGAGACGTATATAGGCTGTAACTTTAACTTTTTTAACTTTTAGTATTATAATATCCAAAATCATTTTATTTCCATTTTCGTGACAACCCGTAGCATACACGCTGGCCGCGTAAATGCCTGCCGGCGACATAGTCGAACATCAAAGGCGTTTCACAACTGTAAGGTCTTAAAACGTACACTTGCAATGTTTAAATTTAGATGTTACCAGACATAGTGATGTTGTTATATTAATAAATTCCTTTGTTTACACACATTTTTGGGGTTATTAAATTAATTTACATTATTATTAATGAGCATTTATTTATTTCTAAAGTCACAATTTATACCTAGTCAGGTCATAAATTCTGTCACATGTTTAATATAAAATAATTGAAACAAGTTTATTCATTATGTAATCATTTATATACCAAAATGAACTTAACAAAACAGATTCTTATGACACTAAAGTTTATTCAAAATGACCTCCGTGATTTTGAATACAGGCCTTCAATCTGCGCGGCCAGTCGTCTATCGCAGCACGAACGAGGTTCATGTCAATATCGGCGGCTGCCTTAATCAAGGATGTCTTGAGTGACTCCAAATTGGGATGAGGCTTTGAGCACGCCTTTTCCTCCAAGTGTTGCCATATCTTGTAATCTAACGGATTCAAATCTGGACTGGAGGAGGGCCAGTCTTCGTGCCGGATGAAGTCTATTTCACACGCCGCCAGCCAGTCTTGTGTGCTCTTCGCTCTATGAGCTGGCGCCGAATCTTGTTGGAATACCCAGTGCCTGTTATTCAACATGGTATGAGAAACAGGTTCCACAAGGTTCGTAAGGACTGTATTTTGATACACAACTGCATTCGTTTTTACACCTTTCTCACAAAAATGTACCTCTGTTAAGCCCCAATAAGAAACTCCCAACCATACCATGAGCGAGGATGGACAATGACCTCGTTGGACACGCGGAATACGGTTGCTCGCTTCTTCACTACTGTGTGCGTACACCTTATCATTTTGTTTGTTGTAGCTCTCTTCTACGGTAAACATTTTTTCATCCGAAAGAATTTCCCTATATTTTTTTCCCGCGTACCGCTTCAACAAAGCGTGGCATCTCTTCAGTCGCAAGTCCATTAGACGAGCATTCAAACGATGTCCTGTTTTTCTTCGATATGCCCGAAGCCCTAAGTCTTCATTTAACACCCTTTTCACTGTGGTTCTGCTTAACTCCATCTGAAGGGCCAACAGTTTCTGCTTACGTTTGGGATTTCTTTGAATTCGCGCCTTCACAGCTTTTATCACTGCTGGAGTCCTAACAGACCGATGGCGACCACTTCTTGACCTGTCATCTACACTAGAGTCTTCATTGTATCGTTTGATGGTACGATAAACGAATCTTTTGGTTATATTCAAATTTTTCAGTATGTCAAAAATTTGAATTGGCGCGTAACCGCAACGATGCAACGCAATAACTGCAACACGGTCGTCTTTAAGCGTCCACTCCATATTTATAAATGAGTAAAATTCTAAAAAGTATACAGTTTTATTTTCATGACCAATTCGAAATTCGAATTCAATAACCTTTTTTGTGGCCAGCATTCTAAAAGAAAAGTTTTTACTGTGTGACAATACTTATGACCTGACTAGGTATATTACTAGCTGACCCGGTGAACTTCGTACCGCCTAACAGTCGATTCTTTATTTTTTTTAATACTTATTCTGCTATTCGGGACACCGGGTCAGCCAGTAAGATAAAAAAGGAAAAAGAAAGTTGATAAGTCTACAATTACATTATGTCAAAAAATAAAAGTTATAAAACACTTTCTTTTGTATGTGAATATAGAAAAGTGTTGTTTTTAGACTTTTTCAGGCAATTTTTTAAATTTTTCTCTCCGTAAGAACCATCTTCGTCCTTTAAGGTATATTATAAAAAAAGAATTAGCGAAATCGGTTCAGCTGCTCTCGCGATTTGAGCTTAGCAACACATTCAGATTCAGATTCATTTTTATATTATAGAAGATAATCTTCTGATCATGTGTAATAACTTATTTAATATATCCACGAATATCTGTATTTGCCCAACGTAAACAATATTTGCAGCTGCTTCGTGTGCGGCATAGACGATGAAATGCCAACAACTATGGCCTTCCAGAAGAACTTCACAGAGGGTGCTTGTTTGACAATCGCATGGTCCAGCGGAAGGTTGCAACATTTCCCAATTGTGTATGGATAGATGATAAGAAAAGGAGAAACTATTCCTTAATTTGATGTAGGTATTAATTACCTCTATTAACACTAACCGTTGGACGGACTTAAATAACTGTTTAAGGTGAAAAATTAACAGCTAAACAGAAACAGAAGTTGTGCTTTAATTCAAACAACCGATTATAGATTAAGTATAACTTCAATAAAGTCTTAAAATATTTTTGTTTTATTTTGTTTTATGTTTATTTTTTTGTTAATTATATTTTTTCCGTATATTTTTTATCTTTAAAAACCAGTTTGCCTGTATTGTAGAAACACATTACATACATAAACTGCACACAGACTAGACTTGAAGCAATTATTTGTAGGCCATATATAAAGTTATGATTATATACATACATTATAAAATGTACTGTACGTTCATAATCATTTTGCATGCAAACATGGTTTACGTGATAGAGTCATGCCGCAGCTATTGGTCCGAGAGCTCATGACGCATTTTTCATGAAGTGTTTGATGCATCATGAAACTTTGTTTAAAGGTATCAGTCGACTCAATAAGCAGGTATATGACTGTCTGCCTGGCCTACCTGGGTACACCTGGTACTGCGCATACAGTTAAGTCGAAAAAAAATTTGCCCAAAAAAAAGTGTTTGATTCAAATAATAATAATGACTATCCGTTAGCTAAGTTTATAAACAATTAAGAAAAAAAATGGCAGACACTTCTGAAGGGGTTTACATAGGGGCAGACGACCACAAAGTTGTATTTTCAAAAATTCCAAAAAAAGTGTTTGATTCAGTCTGCCATTTTTACAGCGTGTTTATTATGTATAATAAAATATTCTCACAAAAAGGCAGACAGTTTCTCCGGGGGTTACTAATTTAAAAATCTATACAAATAAATAATCACTTTTTAAATGGTCCATATTTCCTATCATAATAATTAATACATCTGTATCACATGATTTGATAAGTACATTGACAGCAGAATCCGATTCCAATTGACAAACATGAAAATAATTATACTTTTTTAAGATTATTTAAATAGCTGCTGATAAAATAAAAAGCTGTTCCCCGCGACTTCGCCCGCATGTAATTTAGGGTTTTATTTTTTTTGCGCGGTACCCTAATAATTTTTTTTAAATTTAAAAGCAGCCTAAAATACTCGTTATAACATCAATTATCTGCCAGTGAAAGTCCCGTCAAAATCGGTCCAGCCATTTCGGAGATTAGTCGGAACAAACAGACAGACAAAAATTTTAAAAATTGTGTTTTTGTTATAAATATCGTATATAATGTCTTATGCGTTTAGTAAAAAAATGTTATTTTGAAATTAAAAACAGACATTTAAATTTTATTTATTTGTATAGATTTTTAAATTAGTAACCCCCGGAGAAACTGTCTGCCTTTTTGTGAGAATATTTTATTATACATAATAAACACGCTGTAAAAATGGCAGACTGAATCAAACACTTTTTTTGGAATTTTTGAAAATACAACTTTGTGGTCGTCTGCCCCTATGTAAACCCCTTCAGAAGTGTCTGCCATTTTTTTTCTTAATTGTTTATAAACTTAGCTAACGGATAGTCATTATTATTATTTGAATCAAACACTTTTTTTTGGGCAAATTTTTTTTCGACTTAACTGTATGCGCAGTACCAGGTGTACCCAGGTAGGCCAGGCAGACAGTCATATACCTGCTTATTGAGTCGACTGATACCTTTAAACAAAGTTTCATGATGCATCAAACACTTCATGAAAAATGCGTCATGAGCTCTCGGACCATATATTATGGCTGCAGGACGAATCGGTCGACTGGGGAAGGACTGCTGTGAAGGCTTTTTCGTATGGTGATTGTAGAGGACCGGCGACCCTTTTATTAATCAATTAAACTTTTTTTTAATTAGTTACAAACTAGGCAGTCCATCTTAGCCCACAGGGGTGATAACGCATCTGCATTTTGATTCTTAATAGAAGATAAAGGTGCCACAGCACCATTTACCATCAGGTGGATTGTGTGCTCGTATGTCACCTTTATTCTATAAAAAAATATGGCTCGTCCTATTTTTAAAGAACCGTCAGTTCTTTATTAGACAGATGTAAAATAAGTTTATCAATACCAGAGTGCCTATAACAACTAATAATGAATTCCAGGTCCAATGCCTTCATACGTAATCTCGTCAGTAACCAATAATTCAATTGTTGGATGAAATGACCGAATTTACTGTTTTGTTAATGACAATCGCATGGTCAACAATTAAAATTAGTTTTAAACATTAATACGTGTATGCGTAGATATATGGATGTAAAAGAGGCGAGAGAGGTGTGTCAGGATCGCGCCAAATGGAAGTCCGTAGTCTCTGCCTACCCCTCTGGGTGACAGGCGTGAGTGTTTATGTATGTATAATATGTTTACTATAAATAAGGTGAATTTTGTAAAATCATTAAATATTTTTTTTTCATATAACCTGAGTATTAATTAATCACAGCCTTATTAGTCTAGTGTACGTAAGCGCGACTACTGAACAGGTGGTGCTGGGTTGGGTCAAAATCAGCTCATGAAAAAAGTAGGAACCCAGAGCCAAGAAGTTGATGGTGTTTCACACCTGTGCTTCGAGATAACGTAAAGCCTTTGGTCCTGTGGTTGATGTCTATCCGGTTCTCTAGGATTACGTCCCATCAAACTATGAGAGTAAGGGAACAGAGAGTACACCTTTGCTAGTCTTCGTTCGGTTGATGGGTTTTTCTAACAAGAAATTCTCAGTAGGAACCCGTAGTCCGAAAGTTGGCGGTGTTTCACCCCTGTTGCTGGGAAAGCACTTAAAGCCGTTGGTCCTGCGCCTGATCTCTCCCCAATCGTCTCGGAATTCCGTACATCGTGACTATGAGATGGGGGGGGGGGGGAGGGGAGAACAGGAAGTGCACTATGCACCTTTGTTTTTATAGGATAGGGTGACAAACGAGCACACAGTCCACCTGATGGTAAGTTGTTGCTGTGATCCATATACATCTACATTTATTCTCAATAAAGAATCAAAATGCAGATGCGTCGTCACCCGTGGGGACTAAGATGGAATACCTCTTGTCCAGTAAAATTGGTCTCCGGTTCTCTACACTCACCATACGAAACACAGCAGTGTTAAGCTGCTATTTCACGCTGGTATTCTGTGAGAGCGTGGTCCCTCCCCGGCCGAGTCGACACATTCGTGCTACAATACAGCTGCAGCATAGCCGAACCACGTAGAAAAGCACCTGTGTTTGCGCACACACTCGTGCTCTATAATCCTGTTTTGCTCAGTTGAGACTGGCCGCCGTGACCGTAAACCTGTCTGGACGACATTTTACCGTACTCTAATAGATACCACGACGTATTTTTGATCTTTCTCTCTTCTTCCGACACTGGAAGAAATGGAAAGAACGAGTAAGCCAATGTATAATTTACTTATTTGTTTAATAATTTATGCTTTATTTTTCATTTCCCTTAAAAATAAAAGACAAACTAAATGCAAGGCAGACTTAATGCCCACCCAAAGGTTGGTGAGAATTTGATGGAGGTGTGGCAAAATAAAAATGTATTAAACCATTGGTGGCTGAATATTCAAAAATGTAAACCATTATGTTTTGCCAGTTTACATTTCTATTATTTTAATTTTATCTAACAGTGCCACAGGTTTACATTCAATCACAGGCAGAGGTAGCTCAGATGGTTAGCGCTCGCTGTAAGTTTCACAGTACGCGAGCAACCCGGGTTCGATCCCCGCCGGCACCAGTGCAATTGTTACTTGCAATTTTAAGTGCTGATTTACCTCGTGCTCGGCGGTGAAGGTAACTATCGTGAGAAAACAAAAAAAATACGAAAAAAATATTTCGAAGACATTGGTGCAGCGCGCCGGACATTTCCTTGCCCTAAAATTCTCTCAGAAGTGAGAGGAGACTGTGCCCAGCAGTGGGAAGTATATAGGCTGTAACTACTTTACAGGCAGAGTCGTCCTTTGTCCTAATGTACCCGTGATTCATATAAAGCCTACGTGATAAGATCGGAGTTAAGTTAGAGTACACAAAGAAATATTCGCAACCGGAAAATGTGTTTCTGTAGAAATGTAGTCAAAACCATAACCTGCGACTCGGCGGTCAACCTTCACTAAATCATCCTTAGTTCTGGTCTTGGTCACATAGTTTTTGAGTACATGAATCATGAAAAAAAATGAGTAACTAATTTTAAGCGTATTATCACAGCCATCTGGGTTTACGAACAAAAGATAAGAAAGCTTAGACTATAAATGAACCTTTGTGTATTTGTTTGTTGACTCTTTCATCGACTACAGACTTGGTCGTAATACCTGCAAGAGATTTCAGGGAAATTCTTATAAATGACTCATTAAAACTGGTCGCTATACCCGAAATTGTTGTAATATCTGAAATCGAAATAACCGAAACATTCTCTATCAAAAGTATACGTTAAATACAAGGGACTTCAAAGTAACGTCGTTATAACTGAAAAGTTGTTGAAACCGGAGTTGTTATTAATGAAATCCACTTTATTACTTAATATCAAACGATAATATAAATTCGCCCTACCCAAAAAAAACCATGCGAAACGAAAAGTGATATTATGCTTTATTGATATTTTATTACCAATTGACTTGCTGTAAAATAGTGTTTACTTTTGAATTTTAAATGTTGTTCTTGTAACACTTCTTTTATTTATTTCAGTTGCACCTAAACCTAACATGCGTCTAGATCTTAGGATCAGATCATTTTTTAATTCATCGTCAAATGTCAACTGTACTTTGACATATACGCTGTTATGATCACTGGACCCTCGTCGAAAGTTTTTAACTATATATCTGCTATTACATGTTTCAAATTCTGTACAAATTCTTTTATAAAGCTCGTCCACTATACGTTCTAATTCGATTTTCATGTTCACCTCAATATCTTTTATAATATTCTCTTTTAACTTTGAATTCATAGAATCTAACTTCTTATGTAGGAATTTGTTTGTATGTAACTTCACATTGTCGACC